TTCTGAGGCATGAATGGTCAAACGGTGTGAGACTAGTTAGAAAAATAACTGATAGCATATACTGGGAATGCTGCTTTGCAACAACTCCACCAATAAGAAAACGAGCAGTGAGCTGTCTTAAGGAGTATTGTTTTTGTGATAGCAACACCAGCCACCCACCTCTGCATTGGGCTCTGCGTTCTCAGAAATCCTCGCCAGGCAGGAGTGATCAGTGAATCTCGGAGCGTGGTCGTTCACATCTTTGATCAGAATAGTAGCAGTTCCCGTTCCTGCCATCCCTCCCCCGTCCCTGGCTTCCACCACCAGGAGGTAGGACTCGACTTGTTCCCGGTCTAGCCCACCTATGCCTACAGTGATGGTGCCCGTGGTGGGATTGATGGTAAACATTTCTGAGAAGGTGGGGACTCCGCCCAGCTCCGCGTTAGTGGCATCTAAACTACCCACAATCCTGTAAGAGAGCACAGCGTTCTGCCCCACAGCCGAGTCGTCCAGGTCGGTCGCCGTCATTTCCATCACCGACGTCCCTGCTGCTGAGTTCTCTGCTACTTCCCCGTGACAGCTGGGAGCGCACGTGAAGATGGGCGCGTTGTCATTTATGTCCCATACGTTGATGATGACATCTGTGAAACCTGTCAGACCTTCGCCGCCCTCATCTGTGGCCAGGACGACGAAACGCCAGACGGCGCGCTCCTCGCGGTCGAGCGTCCGCTGGGCGTAGATCTTCCCCGTGACCTCATCAATTATGAATTCACTGTCTGCACCTTGGCCGTGGAGAGAGTAACGCAGGGCCTCCTGGTCGGCGTCCTTATCTGGGTCAGTTGCCGTTACCTGCAATGTGAAAGGCACGGTGAGCCAGGCGAGGCAACGATCTTACAATCACGGAGCTTTTACACCGTTGCTGACTTGGTCGTGACATCATGACTCACAGCACTCCATAAGTGCCCTGTGCAGCTTTGTACTCGCTGGTATTTAAATCTGGCAAAGGGCCATCTTTTTAACCCCGAGCCTCACCTTTCCTCCCCCTCTTCTGTCTGCACATTTTGCTCATCTTCATCACATTAGCAGCAGTAATATCAGGTCAGGCCAAAGTTGCTTTAACTTAACACAGTAATTGCAGAATGACTGAGAGCAAAAATGTATGTGTGCTTCTACAGAGGACTATTAAATCCACATATTAGAGACATTTGTGAAACCCAAACTTGATGTGTACACATGTACAATTTAATAACGCACATAGTCGACAAAACTCAAATACCTACTTCAACATAATCAACAAATATGCAGTTAAACAAAAGAAACCGTTTGAGTTTTACGTGGGTTTGTAAAAGGGAAACGACATCAGGTTTACCTGCGTTACTGTTGTGGTCTACCTAAGACATCTTACTCCTGCGAGGACCAGAGAGCGGTAGAAAATAAAATTCTGTTTTTCCTCTGGCAGCTGTTAAATGTTAAATTAAAAATACTGCTTAATATTAGCTACAGGAGCTGGTTAAAAAATGTCTCCGGTTGCTTCTTTGAAGAGAACCTGTTATGATCAGTATCAGCTGCATATTTTTATGCTTGAGCTATACCAGAGTAACTCTGTATAATTCATAGTTTAAAATAACCCTCACTTATTCACCCCCTTAAGTTCACCCTGCGTCTAAAACAAGCTGCTTTGGCTCATCTCTCTTTAAGCCGACGGTCTACTGATTGACATGGTCGGTGGGGCTTCGGTGCTAACAATCAAAGGATGTATGAAGATATCTTCTCTCTGTGACATCATGCAGATCCACAAACAATAACTAAAGAAAGAAAGAAAACTTAGTTTAGAGCAGCCAGAGCTCAAAGCAAATTGACTAGATAGATATGAGCTCATAGGAAGTTTTATCAACCAGGATATGCAGAAGTGCATCTCTGATTGGTCAACAGCAGCAGAAGACACCGGGAGCCACTCCTGTCAGCTAAGAACAAGAAACTGAGGCTCGCCAGAATTGGACAACAGAAACCTGAAAAGCCTGATCCGATGAGTCCGTTTTCACATGGATCCATCCTGTCTTGTATCAGTGGCTCAGGCTGGTGCTGTGATGTTGTGGGGAATATTATCTTGGGTCCCTTAGTACCAACACAGCATTGTTTAAACAACCTTTGTGACATTATTTGCTGCATAGCCTCCAGAGATGTAATCCGATTACTTTTTTCAAGTAACAAGTAAGGGATTACTATTGCAAAAACGGTAATTAGATTACCGTTACTTTCCCGTAGGAACGCTGCGTTACTGCGTTACTAAAACCGTGATTTTTTTGCGAGAACGTCTCATGACAGTGACGTAAGCGAGCGCCACGGGAGCGACAACAGCTGTGTGCAGATCAACAATGGATCATATATCGAGTGCAGAGAGAGTATGAGCGTGCAGCGTTTAAAGCGTGGAAGTACTGACCTTACTTTGAGTTTGATTCCATAAAAAGTGACAAAAACATTAGTGTCCGTTGTGCGTGGGAAGAAAACTTCTTTTTACACCGAAAAAAACCCCTAAACTTCCAAACAAGCACCGAGTAGCTACGACATAATGGGATTCTTCCACTGACCGCGGCACACCTGCACCAGGGTAAACCTCCGCCTACTTTAGTCCTGCTTTACAGGTGAAAATAGAGCAACAGGACCGCTAGTCTTTGACTTTATTTATTTTCTGCTGTGTTTTACTTGCATCTATTTGAAAGACTGAGTGTAAACACACAAAAAATATTTTATGTGCTGGAATGTGCAGAAAATAGGTTTAAATATTAAACAAATTTCTTCCAGTCAAAATGTTGCAGATAATTAAATTTTTGCTTGATGCATAAAGTTAAAAGATTAAAACTAATAAAACAAGTTTTAAAAAGAGACGTTTCCATTTGATTACATTTTGTATGATGGATTATGTAGAAAAAGTAGAATTGGGCTGAAAGATCTATCACTTTATCACCTATTCAGGTTGTAAATCGTGTTTTTAAAAAGTAACTAAGTTACTAAGTAATTAATTACTTTTGAAAATAAGTAATCAGTAAAGTAACGGGATTACTTTTTTGGGGAAGTAATCAGTAATTAGTTACTGATTACTTTTTTCAAGTAACTTGACCAACACTGATAGCCTCTACTCTTTTTTTGAGTTCACCTCAAACTCAAATACCGTCTTCTCTGTTGGCCTGTAGTGCTATTTATGTTCATGTTTGTAGCTCAAAGTGGCAAATAAATAAACAAAACTCAGCAGCAATGCGTCAGTGAACATATTTATGTAGAATATAGTTTATTCCTTCTCTTAGTAGTCATATATAGATAAAGAAACAATACTGTAACTAAAAAGAGGACTACAAAAAACAACAAAAACACACACACTTCATCTGACTGAGTCAGCTTGGACCGTACCTGCAACACAAACACCGGAGAACCATCCAGCTCCTCTGTCACGCTGCCGTAGTACTCGTTAACAGTAAACACCGGAGCCTCGTCATTCTTGTTGACCACGTTTACTGTCACAGTCGTGTAATCTTCCCACTTCCCATCTGAAGCCAGAAGATGAAGCTTGTACCTGAACACAAGTTTCAACTTTGTCAGGGATGGACAATCGTTCAGCAAGCTGGGAGGATTCTCCTCTGAGTGTGTTCCTACCTTTTGTTCTGTTCGTAGTCCAGAGGCTGGGCTATAAAGATAGTGCCCACCTCTGGTTCCACATCAAACACCCCTCCTGTGTTTCCTGATGTGATCTGGTACCGCAGCTTAGCGTTTCCACCTGCAAACCAGTGTAAGGATGAAGACAAATTAACAGTGACAGTAGAAATGGAGCTGTAGAGAGGAAAAGTTATGGAGTTTAGTTTTTGTATTTGTAAAAAGAAAGAGCTTTGGTGAAGGCTTGATCAACCACGGGCTAGAAGTACCCATTTCACTCGGTACTGCTGGTTTCTGCTTAACCCAAGATCTGTCTCAGTTAACAAGGACAGACAGCAGCCTGCTTTAGCTGACAGAACAGAAGTCAGATACTAAGTCTTAGATCTGAAAAGGAGCCATCGTCCGTCCTTACAGAGGTGATTGCCATTGCCTAACATGTAAGAATTTCATCCACGGGACAAGAAATCTCTTAAAAAGTAAAATATAATCTTTTATAAAATATAAAAGATATTTTAGAGCCATTGACAGAAAAGAAAAAGGCTTTACGGTTCCTCTGATTCTAACAATTTGATCACAAAATAAATTATGACATTTACCAACAATACAAATAGATACGTGCCAATTATTTCTACCAATCCTTCCAAACTACAAAGAAATTCACCCATTTTTAAAAAGA